GATTATATTACACAATTCAGATTCCTTGAAAATATTTATTTTTATGCAAAAAAATAATAATTTATATCGCGTCATAAAACAATGGTAGACACTTTTGAAACCTTAAAAATTTTATATTCCAACGGAACCTTTTTACCAATTCCTTTTTGTTACTGAAAAATCCATTAGAAAGCGCTTGCAAAAATAATTTGGAACACAAACATACTTTTTGAGTTAAATATACAATTATATGGAATGGGTATATAAATTCACTATTTGGTCATTTTGATCACAAACTAAAATTTATTTATATTTGCCTGTTATTAAAATTGTTTATTACAGTTTTTGAGGAATTAGACACCACACGAACGTAAGCAAAAATTCAATTTAATGTTAGGAAATTGGAAGCTTATGTTGTTAATAGGAAAATAACTTTAATGACCTTTAATAATAATTAGCTTACATTTTTGCCGCTTAATATGCGTCGAGTTCTGTATTTAATTGTTGAACATAAAACCAAAATGCATTTCAAATGTTCTTGTCAGTTAGTTACTTAATTTGTTTTTTTTTCCAGACTTAATGATGCGAACAACTCACAAGCTTAATCCATATGATCATATTTTAAAAGACAGACTATAATTAAGTTATCGAAATATTCTTATTCTTAATCGCACCCTCAATTAAATAAAGTTACATAAATATATGTAGGTACGTTTATTTAAAATTATACTCGAAAATACTTAATAAAATAACGGTAATATTTTAACTATCAGGTAACTTTAATTTTTGACCTTTATATAAGTATAAAATCATAAATTAAAATTGAAATTGTTAATTGACTTGGGAATTTCGCCATCATGATAATAATATTTATATTGACAAATATATGTATATTTTTAAATCTATTCACAATGACAAAATTTTTTATGATTTTCAAACTCATAGTATAAAAAGGCGGTCTGTATAATTTTTAGATTATACATCAATAACATTTTCGTTTCATACCAAAACATCAACCTTGACTTTTCAACCTTTAACAATATAATACAAAGATGCATCAAATATCAAATGTTAAATTCTTCCTCATGACTATTATTGACCTATACACCGCGAATAAAACCTGATAACTAATAATAACAATAACAATTTTACCACTTTCTCAAAAAAGTAAATTAAATTTAAGCACTTATAAAACCGGCAGGTTAATTGTGTTTAAGAAGATACAACAGTTTAATATTAACAAAAGAAACTTGAAACACTCACCGACAAATTGAAGAACAGCAATTAATAAACCAACAGTTTGTATTGATAGTTATTGATAAGCACTTTATAATAAACACAATCACAGTTAAAGACACCGTATTTACGAATCCGGCATGTTGAGTTGCGGAGTACGAGACCGTTCGTCGGAGCGATCACAGACATGTGAAATCAGCTGTGGCTGCGGCTAACGGAGCGACGCACGCCCCCCTCCCCCCACCTCATAACAGATTGTCCACCGCATAGCAGATAAGATAATTTTATTACATTTGTACAGCTTATTTTGAAAAATTTGCAACCGTGGGAATGTAGATTTTTGATTGTGCGTTATTCACATCAAGATTGCCTCATTGCGACTTCACGCTTATAAACTGATAGTCTGTCTACTGGACTCATCTGATAGTGGTTATAGAGCAGTAGTGATATGTCTATAAATTTTAAGTTATTATTTACTCACAATATGCCTCCTGTTCATTGAAGTTATTAAAATATATTTTTTGATTTAAAATATCAAATGTTTAATGTTTTTGCTTTGAAATTATATTTTGTATAATTTTTCATCAAACACATTTTAGTTTTTGTTTGGCTGTGTACCTCTCCCTGTACTTTTTTGGCACTTGAAAAACGAGGTTCCAAAAGAAGACATTTAGTTAACACTCTTCATATTGAATAAAATAAGAAGAGGAAAAGAGACATAACCAAGCAAAACATATCTTTCAGTTAAGTAAGTGTTAGTTCCACGAATATAAATTTCTTTACCACCTTTTAGACGTCGATTTTATATTTAGTTTTGTAATAAGGACTGTGATAAATATAGCGGTATTTACACATACTTTTCCAGACATTAAAAAGATCTTGATACCTTGATGAAAACTTTATGTTAATTTATCTAAGTATTTCCTAAAAAAATCAACAAACTCGTTTCGACGGAATCCATAGATTTTTGTAATATAGCTCTGACGGGCCTCTTAAGCCTTGATTTTTCTGAGTGGCGTGTATTTTTATAAACAATAATTAATTTAATTGATTTTACATTTAATTGAGTCTTGGTACCTATTATCAGTTATTATTTATTTTACGGCCTTTTAATAAGTTAAAAAATTTTTGCAATGAAACCTACATAACTATTACCTACTTTCCAGTAAGTATATTTACTATTTATGGTCATTAATAATAGCAATTAGCCAATTACACAGTTGGAATGTGTAAAGGAATTTTATCAATGAGTTTTGAATCTGACTTGCATCACCTGATAAGCAACAGCAGAATCTGTAAACAATTTTTTTATCAATTTATCTATGTATGAAATGTGTCAAACTATTGATAAACGACTCGAAGAATGTGGTATTGATATTACGGCGTTAAAAATATATTGTTGAATTTGATATTTTGTATAATCAGTATCTCATAAATACAAATATAGGTATTTCATTTAAATATAAAGGGAAAAAAATATAAAAAAAATGTTAAACAATCACCTCACAGCTCAGACGAAAAGGAATTAGATTTCGAAATACAATGATTCATCTATAGACATACTTAGATTTTTTTATATTAACTGGAATTGAGAACAAAACCATCTTTTGAAGTTGCTTTTGACTCATCAGTCATCAGGCATCTCCTTGTCTGATTTGTTTGTAGGTGTAATATTTTTATTTATGACTAAATTTCACTTGGCTCATTACAAATAGCCTTAAACCATATGTCTCAACATAAAATAACAATTTTCGAAATACCCAAATCCAAGTAACCAAACTCGAAACATATTATCGATATAACTAAAATATAAAACAATAAATTTAATAAAACATATCAACAAGAATATAACATAGATTTTGATGAAATAATTTCGTTCTTTGAGTTTCTTAAGAAAAATATAGTTATATTGTTGCGGGGTTTGTCTGTTGGAGATGCATTAAAGAAAATAATAGAAAGCTACATTTGCTCCATATAAAATATTAAAGCGAAAATCAGCCTTCACTCATTCGAACCTAAAGTCATGACTAAAATCGATCCTTATGAGTCAGCAGAGAAAATGTGCACTCCTAAAACAAAACAATATACCTATTTTGATAAACTCTTTATCTGATTGTGGAACTACAATGACTAAGCATCTGACAAAATACGTTCTGAATTTTTGTTACTTAAAATATTATATGCTTCTTTTTAGTTCCGTTAAAAATAATTTCTATTCATCTAGGACGTTTCTACGTATGTAGTTTGCCTGAACAGATACCTAAAATATTGCTCGCCTTCATATAGACGTACATAAAACTAAAATTACTAAAACTGACGAATTCCTATTTGATTTCTTAATTACTATAATATATAAATGGAACTCGATTAACAAAATTAAATTAATAAATGTAATGAAAATTGTAACTAGCCTGTCTGAATCTTATAAACTAAAAAGGAGTTTTTATAAGTGCGATCTAAAGTCAAATCATACATATTCATTCTTTTGTTTGTAAGTCCATCTTTTTGTGGAAGTTTAAATTTACCGCAGTATAATATTCTATTTCAACAGCATCAATTAAATAGAACATTTCAGGACCGTACTTCCGTTGCTAATGAATTAGATGTCAACAGCTGTTCTAATGGGATTGTATTATGAAATAATATAAAAAATTACTTCTAAAAGTGAGAATAGTAAAGAGTAAACTTATATACTTAATTTAAATTCGTCAGGGGCATTGCCATTGCATGTAACAAATGTTTTCTTTCAGAGTCAATAGAGCACGAAGGTGCTTAACATTCAAGGTGGTCATTTCTCTCTTTTAAAAGAAAGTCTTTACATTGACTTCAATAAAAAAAATTGCCTTAATTGGTAACCCTGGTTGTTTGTTATATTAAAATAAAATCGTAATCAAGGTGTAATCGTAATCAATTTATAATTAAATTATTAATTAGTTTAATGTTGATCAGATATTCTAATACATATTGTCTTCACTGTATACTGTATAGAATTCAAGTTGTAATACATATGATATATGAGATCATTCAAAAAAATTTCAAATGTTTTCCATAAAATAATAGGGCTCGATATCCAATTTAGAGCAATTTGGATTTCAAAACAAATTACCATAATGTGCACTGCACGTCTACGTCTGGCCGATAAAAAGCAAAATTTCTCTGTGATTACTAGAATTTAACATTGTCGACATAGAAAATAACTATCCACCTCAAGCCGTATTGTGAATTCTTAAAAGGCTGTTGGGGACACAAGAAATAAATTAATGTCTACACACAAGAAATAAATACCAGTCGAATGTAATAAAAACGTAAAGTTGCATGGGACTCATATTAATTGTATCTACGGCAGATTAGACTTTGAAGCGCCTACGGAAACATTAAAAGCAAAAGTGGCATTGTATATTTCATGAAATTCTTTAGAAGAATATTGGTATCAAGATATATTTTCAAACATTGTTTTTAGCCACTGATATTTATTTATACTTTAATTACCACATTTAATTCCACAGTGTTACTTGTAAATGAAAAGTTATTATTGTTGTATAATCTTTGTAATAGAACTCATGTATGAAAAGAATATTTAGACTGAAAAACAAGGACATTACTAATAATTTATTTCTTAGCCGTGAAAAAAACCTCAATGTTAATGATGATCCGTTGTTTTTAAACTAAAATGGATCGCAAATAAAAAGCATAAATAAATTGATAAAATTATATTTTGTGAAAAGTCGAAAGAATAATGCAATCGTATCAAAATGTTTGTTTTGAAAAAATAGTAGTTATGTTTATTATTTCTTTCTTCCTGTAGCAGGGCTCGGTAAACGATAGCATCTCAAAATCATGTGCATATCATAGAAGGTCATGTGGTGAAATGAAAAATATTCTGGGTTTTGATAGTATGAGCACTTTGCAGCACCATTACCAAGAATCTATTAAATTAAAATTACATGTATAACGTACAACTCGTTAAAAATAAACAAGTTAAAGGAACTGTTAAATTAAATAGACTTTAAAGCTACTGAATTCAATTTAAGCTTGCGTTCTAAAAATTATTGGTATTATTGAATATTAATTAATATTTTTTTTATTAAAACAAACAACAATAACTTCTCTACATTCTATATTATTATTATCGAAATAAACAAATACCTCTCCAAAAGTGTTGCGAAAAATGCCGGTGGGTATACAAGGTAATGTCTCAAAATTTGGCATCACACTATCCATTGGTAAATTATGACCAAATTTTCGACACTGAAATATGAAAGGAGTATTGAAACACATCTCTATCACAAATTGTATTTTGTTAATATTAACTTCAACTACAACCTGAATTTGTCTGCCTGTATTAAAAATATATGTACGGGAGTGGAAACATTGAGCCTGTCTTGCTACACACTATTGTAGTACTGCATACTAAATTTATTATACTCGGTTAAATTTAAAGTGCATGACAACTACAAAGAACCATTTCTCCAACTTTGACCTGTTATTCGATTTCATCAAACAATTTTTCTATATCAAAAAAGTTCTCATAAATCCGGAAACAACTTACATCATATCTCGCCATTGAGGAAGGTGGTGGATGGTTCGAGGAACCGCCACTGGAACTTCCTGTACTTTCACTAGATCCACAACTATCTTTGTTCTGTGATTCACCACATGCATCACTTCGGTTACGCTGGCTTAACCTTATACATTTATTGCTTTGGACAGTATATCGAATCAATTTCGATATGGTAGCCATTTTCATTATTATACTTATTTCACTTTTGTATTTATTCTAGCTGTACCTACTTTAAAATTTGTCTCGGCTTATTTAATCATAAAAATTTATTAACTGTGAACAATCATTTTAATTATGGTTTAATTTTGTTTCCAATATATGTCACAAATTTTACTGACGTATTGATAAACGTCTTAATATTCAGGTATATTTAGATGAACCTCATTTAATTTACAAAAACTTCATGCTAGTACAAAAAATTATGAACAATTGTAAATAGGTCAGTGCAGAAGCCTTTAAAATTAATGAAAAGTGAAAATAAATTATAGTAGAATGAAAGTCATTAGAAAAGGAGGGGAATTATAAAAATAAAAAGAAAAATAATTTACGGGCGATCTGAGGTCGGGAAGGGTATGGGGACGGGTATTTAAGGGTAAAAAATGGGTTTTCTCGATTTCCGGCAAAACTAAAAGTCCCACGGGAAAATGTTATATGGTAAAGTTGTAGGTAATAAAAAGACCTAAAACTTTTGTATTAACATTTTTTTCACATAACCTCAAATTTTATGTAAAAAATTCGAAAAACCTAGTTTTTGGTTTTTTATTTTTATCTCTTACAAAAAATTATATTTTATCACGAAATTTGGTCAAAACCTACCTTTTGATATCCTTAATACACTGTAATTTATTTGATTAGAAATATTAATTTTTTCAGCTTATTTTGAATAAATATCGCAAAATCAGCCTCATTTTTAATCGAAAAATCACCCGTCAAAATATCAGCTATTTTCAAAAATTTGGTATGCTTTCAATTTGTTGAAATCTCTTTTTTTTGATGGTGAAGAAAAAAATATAAGTTTCTTACTTACAGTACCATTTTTGGATAAAATAATCATATCTCTTTTAATGAAATGACACTCGACATCGTTTTGAAAATGCTCTTTCTAATTTATTTCTAATTTAGTTTTAAAAGCAATCGGCACTGGTCTAAAAGTGAATATTATAAATATTGAAGGATTACACAAGGTTTACTAAATATGTAGAAATGAATCTAGGTACTTGATGGAAACGAATTTAGCAGTAATCTACCTTACCAGACAGAGTTTTTGTTACAAAAGTGATCTCAGATTGAAATTGGGTTCAAAGAGAATTTAAAACGTGCGCCTGAAATCATCTGATGAGTTTTAATAACATTGGTAAACAAATAACACAACGGCTTAACGTAAAATGCAATAGATTTTCCGCGTTCTCTGAGGAGCTACAAGAACAGTATACAAGTAGTACTCGTCGTAGGTATATATTTATATTGTTAGTCTTAGTATTGTTCTTATAAATTTGATAAGAAGTCAAGGACAAGGGAAAATAATAGTATGATATGTTTATTCTAATGAGCCTGTTATAAATTTTTTTTAAATATTAAATAATCAATATCTCTTAAAATATTTGCTTGAATGTCTAATTAATATAATAGGAAATTTTAATCAATATTGATTGCATATGTAATTTATTTAAATGAAGGGTAATATATACCTAATAAAATGAAAATTAATTTAATGACCCTTCCGAAGTTGCTATATAATATAATATGATATAAGAAATATAAGTGTATAAATTTAAATATAAAGAAATAAAAAATAATCGTATCTATTTCTTCAAATATTTAATATAGTATCAAGTACAAGTATCTATATCCTACATTATACTTATAAATAAATATCAATTTTATAAGAAATGGAAATATCATAAACCAGAAGTAAAATATAAGTTTGATTTTTTCAATATAATATTTCTATAAATTTAGTCCTGTAATAAATTAAGTAATTTTATTTCATTTAATTTTTTTAATTATAAAAGTGTGTTTAAAATATACAAATATAATTTAAAGGATAAACAAAACTTTCATCCTAAATTTTAGTTCTAATTGAATAAATAGTTTTCTAGACTTGTGTATATATTACGTCTGTCTCAAAGAGTTTCAATTGCCAGCGTAATTTATTTTATAATTAGTCAGTAAATCACCTGCTATTCGAAATTATTCGAATGAGGGTCGTACTGAGAATACTAATGGGCAGTTTATATTCTACACATAAAAAGTTCAACTATGAATATACATTATTTCCATACTCCTCCTGTCAGCCGTAACCCAGGTAAAAGTAAAAAGAGAGCTTTCACTAAAATTCTTATGTTTAAATAGCTTTCCTTTAAAATGTTTGACTCATAGTAATAAACTTAGAAATTAGGTTAAAATGTCGAACTGTCGAACTACGTTTATGACCGGTACATAAACGTCGTTCCAACGTCGAGTCGCGTCGGGACGAACAAGTGAAAAGTTTAACTAGTTTACAGTCGACGATAAAAGGTCTCGATTCGTTGGCTATAAAAAAGTCAACAACCATCCACTCCCACAAGTATTTATTGCCAAACAAGGTGAATAGACACAGTGTATTTGGTTACATTTATTCAGGACTTGTTTTTCATAACTTGAGACGAATTCTAAAAATTCTTAAAGATAATATTAAAACTTGGAATGTACGAGTTTTTAATATTTACCAATAATTTGAGTAATTATTGGTCGTTCTTATTAAACATTAAATGGGGCCGTTAGGGTTAATGGACATTATAGGGAAAACTGTCATGGTAGAAATATTATTGTAAGCATTGGCTTGAATAGTATGCAGTATTAAAAATTGTATGTATGTAATAGTAGGGAAAGTATGCTTTTGCTTAAAATTATTTCTTTATGAAAATAAAATCTCACGTACAAAATAAAAAATAAAATGAAGGACTCATTAATTAAACATAGAAAAGCAAATGAGACAATTTAATTCTTTTTTTATTAGTGATAAACCTGTCCCCATTGTCCCTTTACTGCCTCTCCACATACTGCATCGTCCTAATTGACCCGTCAGTAAGTAACTACACACCCTTAAGCAAACGGAAATACAACTAGGAAGTTAACTTATTACTTATGATAAAAAATAATTTTAGGTTACATAAAGGATTGCCTATAGCTTGAGTTCAATACCAACACGAGAGGTTATAGAGTCGCCATTCACATATCCCAGCCTTCTTAGAATATAGAAAAACAAGTGCAAGATGTTTCCCGCTATCAAATTATTATCGTAACGCGATTAAAATTAAGTTAAATATGCTGACATCATAGTAAGTGACACTATTTCAACTGATTCAATTTTCCAAACGATGTACCAAACACCCTGTTACAACGTTCAATATTTTCTTAAGTTTTGGAAGGATTACGCGTAGAGATGATCATATCACGTAAAACAATTCTTACAAGAGGTCATTAACGCTATACGACGTCAAACGATGAAAAGTTAACGTAAATGTAATGTAATAATAATTATGAAAGACTACCAAATCATCCGTTCTGCATCCCTCAATATTTGTTAATTAATGCAAATGTTACATACCTAATTATAATAAATATAATGTACCTAATTTGTTTTAAGTTTTAGTTTCCATTTTACAAATAAGCCACGAAGCTGTAGACAATTCAATTGTCTTGTAACTTTTATACGATTGCAAGTTTACGAAATACAGATCTAAACTTTGAACCCGTTTTCTCAAGATTCCATAGCGAAAAACTTAAGCCTATGGTATTTCTTCAGTATCAGCCTATTGATGCCTACTGCAGAGCAGAGACCTTCTCAAATGGAGTACGTAGCAAAGTAATCGCTGCGCTTGCTAAAGGTGGATTGGCGATTTCTTATACCTAAGTAGAAATTATAATTCCAGGTTTCCTGACGTCCCCTTTCACCGTCCGAGTGTTGTCTTAATACTCTTAGAAAGTACATAACTTGGAAAAACTACATTGACACTTGACAAGTTTTGACCTCGACTCACTATCGCATTCTCTATTTCTAAATACAAAAATCAAAGCGACTTCTGAAAACTATGAATTAACGACTAAAAATTTACATTTCAATAGACTTGTATTTGTTATCGAGTTAAACTACTCGAGACCGAGCAGTAATCTAAGCTTTTCAATAAAATAAAATTTGCACAATAAAATATTTACTTTACGTAGTGCAAAGTTTAATTTTGCCAGTTTAACATTACAAAACTAATTTCTTTCATTCTAGGTACCTATCAAGTTTAAATTTAAAAATACGTTATTAGGTATATAGGAATCCTGTATATTTTTACAATTCTTTTATTTTGCAAGCGATTCATGATTGTTCGTATATTCCTCAAATAATATTAGATCCAAGAGTAGACACGCTTTAAAAATATTTTATTAGTAATATCAATATATTTTACGTTAGGGAGTTTAATCACTAGTGTTTCAGAAAAATGTCAATGTCAGAAACTGTTTCAATGATACTGATATACTTCGAAACCAAAACCACTATGAGTCGATAATTGTACCCTTAGAAATAGAATTAACACGATTATTATTATACTTATAAATTTATTGTATCGACAGGATAAAAATATCACTAGCACAGCTTCATTACTAGGACTGGCAATCCTGCAGCTGCTTCTTTATTAAAATTTGTATTATCCGCCTTAGAAGAACAACCTGTACAAATTTATTGGATTGGTGAAAGAACTACCATTTTCTTATCTGGAGCTACTAGATTGGGTATTTTAGAGCCGCCACTGCTACTTAAAGGATTTCGACCAGGCTGAATACCAGGCGGAGTCTCAAAGCAATCTGCTTTGCAAGGGGCATCCCATAAGCAAGGCGGAGGTGGCTTCCAATGTACGCAACCTGGTCTTGTACAAGGCTCCTCCTTAACTACAGGTTTAACCTCACGTAATCGTCCGCCCGGTCCACGGACCATATTACTAGGTGCTAATTCTTTATTTTGGAAGCGGCTTAAAATAGTTTCAATTGTTTTTTCATCGAAAACAAATAATGAATTGGTAGGGTTGTTATTGGAATCACATCCACAGTTTGCAGACTGATTTGTAAAGTTTAAATCATTACCTTTGGTGTTAAAAGGTGGACACTTACAACATTGCTCAGCCTTTGAAGACACATCAGGAACGATTCCCTTCAATTCACAAACAATAAATCTTTTGCCACCGCCAGAGCCTGCACTTGATTCTGCTGGCCCTGCTGGCCCTCCACCTTGGGCGCGGTAATGTGCTGCTAAAGGTGCGGGATCTGCAAGTCCCCGATTACGAGCTAGTTGACTAGGCGCACAAAGAGGATCTGGCAGTACAAGACATGCAGGCTCTCCTCCACAACCAGTTCGTCTGCAGTCATGTTGAAGCCCATTTCGTTTAATACAGTGGCAACTGTAGTACATAATACCGCCTCTTAGCTCACGGCTCTTGGTCCTTTTGAGTTGATTTTCTTTTTCATCCTTTTTTTCCGTACCACTCTCCTCCGCCCTCGGGGCTACATCACTGGACTTCAGGATCTGAAATTTTTGGACATAGCATCTCATACCAATTTTGTATCATCCATGTCCACCGTGTATGTTTTATTTTTTACCCGAAACCTTTAGCGCGTTAGAAGACTGATACAGTCCGGCTCACTACCACTGTGAAACCAGATCAAAATCGCTGAATCGCGTAACGTAGGTCTTTCCAGGCGGAGGGCGGCGAACGCAGGGCGGACAAACCGGTGGACATGGCCTCGGACAGCAAGGGCCCGCCCGACACAAATATCGGATCGACCCTTGCTGGAAGAACTGGCAATCCTGCAGTCCATTACGCTTAAACGCAGATCGCGGCAGGCACTGCAACTAAATATTACAAGGGCTCTTAATAATTCTTATAACGAAAATGGACACTAGCAACGCATAACACTAATAAATTTGACTGCATTATAAGTGAAAGATGATAAAAATATATAGCACAGCTTATACTGAGATGAACCCCTTGCTCCTACACTATTATTTAAATTTAATTATTTTCTTCTTTCTATAATCTATGTAATGTATATGTGTAGTAAAAAAATAGTTTAAATGGTTTAAAAACTATTCTAGTAGGGTAATTTTGGTATAATCTTTCTCTGACGGTTCTTAAGGATAAAATAAAACTGATTCTAATAAAAGTAACGATTGTGACTTATGAATGAAAATGATCAAAACAGCTGGGTTATATTTATTTAGTGTAGTTTTCTTTTACCCTGCTCTGATTAGAAACAAAATCCTTATAAAACAGCAATGAATGGTAAAGAGCCAATAATTTTCTATAAATTTAAACTAGTAGGGGTTTGATCATTTTAAGCCGATCAATATTAAACCATTTTTACTATTTATATTTGACATACTTATATGACTTATAGCCATACATATATATACCTATGTCTATTTAAATTTCATGATAAAACTTTTGGAAAACCGCGTATACGAAATTATACATTTTTTGTACGTAAAATCAATTTGAAGTATTTGTTAAGACGTTCTTTGAACATTGATTTATCTAAAATCTATTTGCACCTTCTATTATAATATACTATAATTACAGCGAAAATATATGTATTTTTTAAATTTCTACTTTGAATATTCTACCTATAAACCTTGTGGATTTTAACTTACTGGTGGTCCACAGTCTTCATATTTATAGCATACCATCGGACCACATGGAGAACACCTGTAAAATTCATTAAGTTTTATTCATAGAGATAATTATAGTAAATCTTACCAATCCAAACAGTTAAAACGTACATCTTGGATACCGCTAAGGAGAGATTTTCAGATTTTACTTATTTTTCTTTGATTTTATTTAAAATGTGATGAGATATTTTCACTTAAAAATTTTGAATTTATATGATTTTTTTAATAAATTTATGCGAAATACATCTGTTCTAAATAGGAGACAGAAATCATCTGGTCATGGTTTCTAATTTCAATTCATGCTACAAAATATTAATCCAATTTAAATTTTCTAACATGCCAGCATTTTTATAATAGTAATAAGTTTTCGACAAAAGAGTTCAATTATATGAATGATCTAATGTCTCATCTTGCAAATTATGCTCAAAGGCTCAGCGTGTGGGTTGAAACTATGTTTAGCGCATGCAATTTTAGCCGGACCACATAACGGAACTGGTTGTATTTCACACAGTGGAGACGCTTGGCAACCACTTCTACGACAATCATATTGCAATCCATTTCGACGAAGGCAAAAACAGTCAGTATACAGTATACCACCCCTTAACTCGCGACTTTTACTATTTCTCAATGGCGTCATCATTCTGCGGGGACCCATATTGTTAAGGATTAAAAAAAAAATGGTAAACTTAAAATTTAACGTATTAAATATTTTTTGTAAAAAAATGATGTTATTAATTCACTTTAAATTTAGATATAATATATAATATAGATTTATGTTTACTGTAAATTTATTCGATCTGAATATTTGTTTTTGTAAAATCTAGTAGGTTATGAGCTACCGAATTAAACATTAAAAATAAAACGTGGTTCCTTATATTATTTTCTAAAAGTAGATTTATATTTCTAAATTTGTTGTTTAATAATCTAATTAATTTACAACGAAGTATTTTTTTATGAAACTGAAACAAATTGTTTACGATTTGGCTTGTGTACATCAAATGCAAAGCATCGTCAAAATATGAGTCATATTAGAAACAATTGTTCATATTAGAATATTTTGACTAGGTTTCAGTATATTTAAAAAAATTAACAACAATAAAAAATATTTAAATTCATTTTTGATAATAATATTCAAAGGCTTATAAACCAAAGAAGTTATATTCGAAGAAAAATTATATTTTATTATTGGCTGGAAAAAAGAATAAAAGTCTAGAATATTTCTAATATTCTACGTTCAAACCGTCTCAGAGGTGATTTGTATAAGCTGTTTTCTTCATAAGGTCAGTACAATAAAATCATTCAAGTGATAAACATATAAAAAGTCAAAAAAACTCTATATAATTTATAAACATAAAATTCCTCTGGAATTTTCCATTTCTCGATTTTAACTTCAGCTACAACTAAAATCAAATCAAAATGTAAGTAACCAACCACCATTTTAAATTTATCATTTTAAATTTCAGCATCTAGTGTTTTTGTTATGAACAAATGTTTGAGTGGTTACTTTCTAGTACTTTCGATTCCAGAGTCGTCGAATAGTCGGAAGAAACCCTAACATTCTAACGTATTTTTCTTTGTATTCAAAAGGTGTGGACCTTGTGGTGGATGCTGCGGTGGCTGCTGCGGTGGCTGTTGTTGTCCGTGCATTACTATATACACGTGCTGTACGAAGATTTGTTAAACGTGTCGTTGCAGAAGCGGCCATGACAAGGTCTCCATGGGATGCTGCCATGTTAACCTTATCAATGATGTCCGTTACAATTCGTGATGTTTTATGAAATAAAGTTGTTTGTATAAAATGTACAAAATCTTTTAATTATGCCATAAAATAACCTCTGCTCAAATATTATTATAGAATTGTTAGTTTGATAATTGTAAACTTCCAATATTTATTAGATATTTCACTTCCATGTTAGAAAGAGCTTTCTAATGCATGTTTTCCTTACGGTTTTGTAAGAGAAATTAAATCTATTGCTTGAAACTTCTAAAATTCATAACCTAAGGATGTCTGGGTCTGGATTGAAAAAATACGAATTTCTTAAACGGAACACTATTCAAACAGAACACTAACACGTTCTTAAACTGAACACTATGCTGCTTCAAGATTATTTCTATTCAAAAACCCTTAGCCCGGCAGACAAATATCGTCAGAGGGCCTTTTCCTCACCAAAGTTAATTGAGTGGATTTTTCTCACTTGGTGACTAGTGGAAGGATAGTATTACGAGTACATAACTAATCCAAACTTGAGTTCCCTTGATTATTTATTATCTAACACTAATAATCAATTTATTAGTACCTACTAGAAAGATTACTTCAGTCACCATTGGGGAACACTATTCTCACATGATTTATTAAGTTGTCTTTTTCGTGATTTACCCCTATATTCGATAAGCCTTTTATTCTAAATGAAAAACATTGGGTTTTTTCATTAGTCATAACAAACTCATCGTCATGACCTTTGAGTGTGGGAGAGAATAATGAGTATTATTACATTTGATTTACTTTAGACTTTATTGAAATTTGCAATAAAGCTGGCGTATACAAAGAGTTCATAGTAAAATGCATTTTTGGTATTTGAGATTTATTGACCAAAACACTATCATTCACAAATTTTCGAGCTCCCGAACTATTTACCACACTGGCATACAAGGGCCACAACACCCCCCGCATACAGGAACACCAGGGTAACTGCATCTCTTTGGAGAACATACCCCAGGTTCTGTACAACAGTAACAAGGACAAGGTTTGCAGCGATTTGGTCTGCAGCAGGGTATTGCCACTGAGTCACATACAGGTACTGGCGGTGTGACTCGGTTTACGGGCTGTAACAAATATATGATTGTTAAGCAGTTGCTTTACTTCATAGATCCAAAATAACTGATAATTTCCTTATAGCGTCATAAGAAAACAGTTAAGGATAAAAAATTCTATAAATTAAACCTTATCACACGGAGGGCACGGAGGCAAACATGGTAGTACAGGTGGTGGTATACAGGGGGCCGGGCATGGTCGTACTGGCGCTGGGCAAGGAGAACATCCCCCACCTGGACAAACTGAACAAGGACTCAGATCATTTCGCGAGGCCACACACGGCTTCGTAGAGTATGGATAGCAGGCACCGCATGGCATTCCGGTGCATACACATGGATCAAAGCTGTAAAAAGGAGCGCTCATTTTAACTTTTACAATTTTTTTCACAAAATTATTATCATAAAAATATTTTTATTCTTGACTTTATGTGAATTTGATATAAAAAGAATTAAATATGACAGAAGTCAATTACTTTTTTATTTTGTGTTTGAAGTTTGCAATTAAATTAGAATAAAAAGTGACAAATATCATGACAAATAGAAAAAATTAAAAATTGACACTAAATTAAACAGTTAAATTTTATCTAAATATATCGAAAATAAAATACACATAAATATAACAATATAAAATTTTAAAGATAAAAAGAGTAATGTGTTCCACGTGCTTTTGTCCTACATGTCCGGCGATTCTTCCTTGTGGAACCGGACCGTGTAGGTATTCTTGTCCCTGTCCGCCGCCGTGTTGCCAACCATGTTGTCCCCCGCCGACGCCGTGTACACCGTGTCCACCATGCAACTGCAGGGCATACTTCAGACCGTGCCCCGCCCCTGTCATACCGGACATCGTGCCACCTATAGTGCCCGTATTACCTCCATGCAGACCCAGAAGACAGCCACCCTGTGAACCTTGCCCGTATCCTCCACCGAAACCCGTGTGTTGTCCCCCCGTCCTACCATGTTGTCCACCGCCAGAACCATGTGAATGTCCCCCGGTAAGAAACGTTAAATGCTGTATACTTTATTTTATGATTCTAATTCTGTAACGTTTTATGATACATTTTTAACGTTTTTGTCTCGACAGATACGACCTTGCCCTGAACCGACTCCTTGCTACCAGCCAGTTCTCCCGTGTTGTAATCCGCAATGTCCTCCACCTATAATACCTAAACAACGTCCAATTTGTCCAAGGGCTCCTCCTCCTCAATACCCTTGCATTCCTGTTTGTCGTAGCTGCTGTCCTGATTGTGAATTAGATCCTGTCACTCGGAGAAGGCCGTTAATAGTTCATGACAGCGTTTTTGCTAATAGGCCATCAGGTTTACCTGCTGAATGTTACACAAGGCGAAACCCCAACGTTAGATATTCTGTCACTAATTACGTTAGACAGGTAAGGTTTAAAACTGCATAATTTCGTGGTAAAGTATTATTTCTTTTTATAAGAGCTTTTCTTTGATAAACATTGGTAACAAAATTCTATGACATAGCATCCTGAAATCTTTTATACACCGGATAAACATATTAGAACACGTTTTCTACAAATAAATTGTGTAAAAAGTAAGGAGTATAGAAAAATCTAGTATTACATCTATAATCTTAACTATATTTTTCAGGGTCCTCAATCGGGATGTTGTTACCACGTGAATGTACCACTTCGGTAGTGAATAACTATGCAAAAAATATGTGTAAAGGACTGTTAAAAAGAAACAAGTGTTGGTATTTTTAAGTTTATTATTGCAATGTTTTTATGTTTTTGATGATTAAAATTTTAGCTAAAAATAGATAACTTTTTTATATTTTTAAACTCTTGCTCTACACTATTCTAATACACGTTTCACTTAAACATATTGCGATCTTAAGTTTAATACATTAATAAACATCTCAACTTATACAGGTGATTTATTGACAATATTAACCTACGAGGTTGAATTAAATAAGATAAAATATGTGGTAGAAATGATATCCTTTATTTGCAAACCAAAAAGTAATAATAGTCTTAGGCACTTGTCGTTTTCCATGGAACCCTAAAAACTAAACCACCATGAATTTTTGATTTTAAGTTTTTGCCACCTAGATTTCAAACGTATCCAGTTGGTCAAAGATTGCTATTTAAAACAGCACACACCTAACCTCCGTCCATTTGCTCCGATAGCATAAGTATAACAAATTTCAAATTAAAATTTTTAGTGAAATTATACCATTAAACATGTCTGGTTGTGGTGGAACTACTGCAAATTGTTGTTCGCCTTGTTGCCCTACGCCGTGCCCGCAACCAAACAATAACTGCTGCGGTGCACCAAGTTGTTTTCAATACAACCCTCCTGCGTGTATCAAATATTGTGCAGTGAATCCTTGCATTAATATATACAGCTGTCACACTCAAGTGATGTAAAGGAACGGAAAAGACCACTCGGCGGAGCCTCCCATACAAATGTTTCGTCAAAGGATATCAATTTAATATCATGTCATAAGTAATGTTTAGTAATCTTAAATAAATGGGTTTTAAAAGATTTGTTGTTTGTTACGATATAATAGAACATCGTCTTATCTGATAGGTTACTCTTTGTTCACAAAACAAGGTTCCTGTATTTCTTATTATTCAAAACATTAAAGTAGTGTAGTAGTGTATATTTCTTATCGAACTAAAATGGCCGCTTTTCCAAATGTATATTAAAAACCGGAGGCCTAAGATTCTAGACAATATCTTCGAAGCTCCAGGTAAGGAACAAAGTGGTCAATAAGATTTTAAAATATCCAATTTATAGCATCAAGTGCAATTTTACATAAACATCAAAATGGAAAACCAATGTTTTGAAATCTCTAAATTTTGTATGCCCAGTTATCCCGAGATAATAGATATCAGTTTGGTTAATCCACAATTTACTCCCGAATACAAGTCCCAACTATAACTTGTAACTAAGTATATCCAACTATCTTCAAAAAGCGTTTGCAATTCCAAAAGCAGGGCAGCTCAATAAAACACTCATAAAAAATTTAGCATTTATTAAACATTAGCCACTATTCACCATACAGACAACCACATTTTCACATTGTATCAACAAATCTTCGTACAACATGTGTAGATGGTTATTCTAGGGCAGCCACATCCGCAACACCTGTAGAGAAACAAGATTAAGTTACTTCAAATAGTACTGAATGTATTATATTACAAAGGAAACAACATTTTTACTATTATTTTATATCTAAGTACATGAAACCGACGTTTCGGTTTCTTTACAGCAACAGCTATCATGTAGGTATACGAGACCATATAGATTTAAATTATAAAGATGCGTAATAAACCCAAAAACTATTTCCTTTAAATTTAGTTTATGTATGATACCTTTTTTAGATAAATTCCGCGAATTGTAAGATTGAAGATGCACTAAAGAATACAGCTGGAATCAAAACCTTAACAAGGAATTTTTACTTCGTCACCTATTTAATTTAATGGCTAGAACTGTAAAATACAAAATACACAGCCAATATTTACAGCCATTAAGTTGGATATTGAATAAAAATGATAAGGGGTTTCCTGCGGAATCAACAGGATATGAAAACTAAGAATGAAACTCATAGAATGAACAGAGGACTTATCCAGAGGACAATCCTTAACCTACTAGAACCGAATAGCCGAAACTGGATAGGCATTGGAAAGTGCCGAGTATTTTATAAAGGTTATTTTTTGTATCTTAGCAGTAAATAATTTAATCGATGTACTTACATTTTGAATTTTATTGGTCTCTTCTAGCTTCAATGGTAAATTATGCCTTTTATGGCTATATTACTGTATTATATATACTTATTTTATAGTTTTTATAATACTAGTTTTCGATTTTAAAATTTTTTTACTTAATTTTAGAGATGATAACAGCACAATAATTTTTTATAAACTGATATTCAAAATGATTTTACTTATAATGAAATTTTGAAATTCTAGAAATATTTGAAAATTATTCTTAATTTGAAATTGTCAGGCATCTTCTTGGTTTTCTAAAAAGGTTCAGAATAATATTAGAAAATGTTTTATTTTAATATGTCACAAGAAAGGAATTTGGTCATGTTGCAGAGTTCATATATATGATAAAATATTTATAAATATGAATTAAAATACTTATAGCAAAAATCATTCTAGATATTTATATTTTTTACGTATCTAAAAAGTAATTAATTCTAAAAAAGTATCTAAAAAATAATTAAAAAAGTTGCTTATAGCAGCTTTACACCAAACGGAATTAGTGATGGACGGATCAAATAGAACTTTTGAAAATATCATTTGGTTATGAATATTTCTTACATGAGTATATTTTTATAAATAATTTTTAAGACAGAAAGATTTTTATTTTTCATCGAAAATTGTGTAACTCTTTTAGGACAACAATAACGATTAGGCTTATTTTTCACTTATCTTTCCGGCTATAGTTATAAAGTCATTCTCAAATTGGATAGTGTATGAGAGGGAAATGCTTGTAATACTACTCGTACATTAAAGACATAATAAATGTTTGAGAGCTCTATGAATGGACACATACTGTTATATTTTGGTAAACACCCACACGAACTTGTCAGTCAGTTCTTTAATAGTGACCTTCGATCTTTATTCGTGTAGAAACGTGCGCAGTAGATATTCTGCAAATGAGCTTTGTACTAATTTGGTGATCTATCTGACAGTTTAATTAAAAGGAATAACTTACTGAATCCACTCTATTAATAGCTTTGTATAGATTGTTATTTTACCAATAAAATATTTTAAAAAATAAACATAAAGATTGAAAACAACAAATAGAAGAAAAATGTTCGGATATTGTTCACAAGAGAAGAGAACGTTTTGCAAGAAATTCATAAAAGACAAGAAATATGATCATTAAAATCCGCATCTATTTCGAAGTTGTAAATATATGTATAACATAAATGTACTGTACTCCTACTCGATTTTAATAATCTGAGTAGTTTTTCTATTAAAAAAGATATTTATTGTACCATTTTCTATTATTGTATTCTAGGAATTTATTTTTTGTTAAACCTCTTTAAAGTCCACTATATAGATCTGAAGGTAACCCTGAACAAACAGACAAACAAATGAAAAATATATTGTCGATTTTATATATAAGTAACATGTTTAAAATAAATAAATAAGGACTACTTATATGGTAAGAATTATATTTAGTCATCCCTTTTCTATTGAAAATCATCTAATTTAAGCATGCTTGACAAATTTCTGTTTTAGTGAACGTCTATATCAGCCTTTAATAACCAATAAATTTCTCAAAAATACTGGTATCATACACAGAAGAAAAGAAAATAAAAACATCAAACTTAAATGAAATGAAAAACGTTCATAAAACATAAACACTAGTTTTTACTAATTTAATATTTGGTTGTCATAAAAATTTCTGTTTTACTTTTCATAAAATATGTGTAGTCCAATTCTTCATTTGCCAAGTTACAAAGAACCACCGGAATTTATTCCATGTGTCCCAGTACAGGTATGATATTTTATAGAAATCAAAAATAAATGCTTTGCAGTTAAATACATCTACAAATATATATGTTTATAACATATTTATGTTTATAAAAATATAAATTTACCGCCGTCCCTGCACCAAATTGAAAATGTTGCTACGGAATTAAAAAGTAATCTTTATTCTGTAAGAGATTGCAGCATCAAAAGATCCTTTTAAGTTTGATTATTACTATGAAGAAAATAATTTTTACTGCTTAACATTCGAAGTTATTGTAGAATAACTAATGTTAAACCTCAAACTTAACCTACTATAAGTAATACGACTTTTTCACTTTCCTGAGCAGTATTATTGTATCATAGATTATATTATATCTAGGGTTTAAAATGTCTTCCTTGTGGTATTGATCCTGTGACCATGCGGAGACCTTTAATCGTTGGCGACAGTACTTTTGACTACCGGCCCACCAGTTGGCCGGGTATGGTAGTCAACAATCAGGACAAGAAAGTCAGATACCAACTTATTAATTATGAACGTCCAGTAAGTAACGTATTCGATAAGTATTTATCAATTTTATTTACCAAATAAAAAATTATATTATTTTTGTATTTCTTTTAAATGGCCGAATTATTAATTGTATTTCTTTTTCATGTCAGATTCAACCTCACTATCCATCTTGTGCACCGTCATACAACTAACTCCAAACATTCATAAGAAGTAAGTAATTCTATTACCTATTTCTAATGCTTCTATTTTTTCACCGATAATCGGTTTTGATTTATCGATTTTTTATATCTGTTTATATATTTATCCACGCATTTATTGTTATCATTAATTGTAATGTTTCTGTATAAATTATAAACATCAATCAATATCGTGAAAATGATTTATAATACCTAACGAAACTCTTACATTTGTGCCAGAATGACTTTTAAAAAATATTAAAAAGGAACATTTTTTAAAAAACGTGACGTAACTTCAGAGATAATAAATTGTGACATTAAAATTTTCGACGTCTAGAATTGGTCTAAATTAGAAAAGTGATTTCAAAATTTGTCCAAATTATTTATTATAATTTAAATACAATAAATACAGCTGTTATAATGTGTGACCGATTGGGTGTAATAAATCAATTACAGGGTATTATGTCTGCGATACAGTAAGTTTAAAAATTAGACTTAAATACAAAATGTACCTAAAGTTATAATTTTTTTTTTCTAAATGTTATCTTATCACTTATATTTTCTACTAACATTTTGCAATGTTCTGACTTCTCTCACATGCTTGACCTGTAGATTGTACAATAATTATAAAATCCGTATGATCGAGATGTTAACTTTATGGAGCTATTGTTTTTGCACTTCCCTGTATTTCTTATAATGTATGTATCCGGTGTGATAGTTAACAATTTTGTTCTTTCACATCTCATATAATAATTATATAACAATAGATGCGGCGGATGTTCCACGGGATGCTGTTCACCTTGCTGCCCCCCACCCTGCTGTGGAAGCGGTTCACTTGTCACAGTATACAGTCAAGTAGCACACATCCAGTGACGGGCTGCCGTCACGATTACATTATTAATTAGGTTATAGGTTTTTTTTTTCTTGAAGACCAGTTAATAACCGGAAAATATAGACGGTTTGGATTCATAAGATACATATGCGAAAAGTGTGTTTACGACCTCGATTTTGCATATATTTTTTGCTTTTATTAGCCAGTTGTTTAAATATCCTTGTTCTTGTTGCCTCGATTTTAATTGAACTAATTTTATAATTTTCACTTATACTGCATGTACCTAGTACGGTGACCTTAAATGTGTTATGACAATCTTCTTAAGTGGAATTTAGGTTTAATTGGGAATGTGTTTTACAGATGCGATACTGGCTGTGGGGCAGCCGCCGAAACCCATAGCAGCATTTGACAAGGCGGTCATAGCAATTGGACACCATTAAACGGTGTGAATCAGGCTTTACGATAGTCTTGTCAAAAATGTGACGTTTTTGTTTGTTTAAATTGCCGTCAATAAATGGATACTTATATTTTACTTGTTTACTTGATTTTACCTGACACGCATACCTTATATGCATTTACAATTTAGGAATCGATTAGTCTATGAAACAGTCTTTACTAAATCAAAGATATTTAGAATTGACGACATTGATATCAATGATTGGGAATCCACATAACCTTCTCCCAGCTTTTCCTAGTTCCTATATATCATATATGGCCTTAAAAATTTATGTACTGTAACCACCCAGTATAGTACCTCAAAGTTAATCGGCTTTATGAAATTTCACAATTCTGTATTAAATTTCAAATAGAAATGTACTTTATCAAAATCAACTCTATATTTACACGCTTATATTTGGAAGACCGTTAAAAATTTTAGGTATATATCGTGAATTAACAATACACAAGCATTCGATATAAATATTGTTGACATGAAACAATTGTAGACTATATTTGATATCTTTTGACCATATTTCTTAAACAGAAACTCCCATATTATTAATTATATACATGTACTTAGGTAGTTATTGTTATATCTCTACCATGACAATTTGGTTGAACAGATAGACTATGACTTTTTTGCCTTAAAATTTATTTGAAATACAAAAATACATATAAAAACAGCTATTTCTCATTTTTTTAATACATCATTTACTTGCTTTAAAATTTATCATAATTAAGTAACTACATAGTAAATTATATGAGAGACATTATTATAATGTGAACAACCGGTTAGTCGTATCTATTTGACAGCAATTCAAAATAAACTGGCATGTAAGAACTAAAGTATTAAGAAAACAACAAAAATCTGAGAATAATGACATTTTCATAATTTTTTTAATCAAACACCATCAAAATTTTGATAAAAATTTAAAAATATAATTTATAGCATAAAAATTGTAAAAATAATAAAATTTAATAGAATATATTTAATATTTCTGAGCCTGATACAAATAAATTGAGTATATTTTTCGGTCTTGGTTAAAACTTAGACATTGGGGGTTATTTGCAAAATGTCAGTTTTTCCTCGTGGTTATGAATGCCCGCGACCGATGCCAAGATACGGTTGCGTGAGAGGCGAATATAGTATTTACTACAAAAGGCCCTGTTACGGTCAGCCGAGACCTCAACCATTTCAAAGAGAAGTCGCTCCCTATTACGGCGGCCCCAGTAACGTGCCTTGCGAAAGGTTAGCCCTTTAAAGTACCTACATTTAATAGTGAAATATACTTTGGCATTTCGAAATATTTTTGGAATATATTGTAAATTATTATTAACATTAAATATTATCCTAATAGGCCATGCTGTTATGACTTTCCCTGCAAGGCCCACTGTTTCAACCATGGAGCAGCCACGAGGCCTAGTGGCCGTTACGCAAGGACGGTTTGGTATCCAGGTGAATGCTGTCCAGTGGTGCCACCCTGCCAGGCCTTCACCTGCCCCAACCCTCCATACCACCCCTGTTGTGTTGACACTGTTAATAAGCTCGTTTAATATCGTGCACAATATTCTCATACTTTTAAGTGTTATTGTACTTCATAGATTATCTGAAATGTTTGTGAAACAGTATTATATAAATGTTCAAAATTAAGACGACTTTATTTGAATGAAATTTTAAAATATAATTTAGTCTTGGACATCGCACTCAAACAATACGCATTTAATGACTGCTTTCATAATATTTAAAGATACTTAAATGTTGGTACTTCAGCCATTTGTTTCATTATAACAAGGTCCTATTCATACAAATCATTAAATGGCAGCCCAAATTGACATTTATGTTATAATACATTTAATAAAATTCAATTTATAGTGGGTGTTAAAATCTATTGGTTCGTTTATGTTAAACGATCACAGCGTAACCTTTAAATGTAACCCCTTGTATCAAAATTCTATTTGTGAAGAATTAATATACAGAAAGAAATAGTTTACCGTTGAATAATATTTAAAGATACTTAATATCACAATGGTTCTAATAAAAGAAACAAAGATAGTTTAATATATCAAATTTAACCACTAAACACGTGTAGCAAATAAAAAAAGTATTTTAAAACAATCGTGCATAATAACTGCAAATATGTTTGTGATGACATAAGCATTATACAATAACCATTTATTCTATAATCTAATTATGCTGCTGTATAAAATTTTATTTACTCCAACATTTTAATTAACATAATGTGATTTAAACTTATGATGGCTATATAAACATTATTATTCATACAGATCTGGCACCAGTAGCACTACACCCACGTAGTGTTGTGCTTCCGAACAGTTGTTATAAAGCAATTTTTGAGAACAGTCGAGTTTGAACCAAAAACTAGTGTTCTCGTTATTTTGAAAAATACGCCGAAGCGTTAGTGTTTCAATCAAAATCGATTGTTAGTCATTCTCTGTGCGTAAATATATAACAGAAGTAGTCGAATGTCGTATACATAATGTTTAATAATTGTGTTTTCATAACATTATTATACATTCTGGGTAAGATTTTTATATTCAAATTATTTTTATTATTTTCATCTTTTCTCATACAAAACAGAACGAAGTATTACAAACGTTACGTAGTTTCCATAAATATTATACTTGTTTTTTTTAGAACAATCATTGTAAGTTAAATGTTGTTTAAAAGTCGTCATAATTGCAAAATAATGAGGAAGATTCAAAATTCATTCATATAAGTACACAGTGAACTAATAGTAGTACATCAAAGTGTAGAAAAAAATGTTTTTTGCGATGTTACATCTTTAGCTTATTATCTTACATCATTGATGACACCAGATTCAATATACTGAATGATATATATATATATATATGTGTGTGTGTGTGTGTGTGTGTGTGTGTTTGTGTGTATGTATTTTTTAAATACAAAAAATGAAGTCCTTATTAATATTAATTAATTATACCAATTCGTATTTTTTTTACAGTAATCATTAAGAAAGGCATACATTAAAAGACTGGTCTTCCCACCTACCTTCTTATTAATATTTAAATAAAACCTACATAATAAAATATTTCAATCTATCTAGGATGTAACAAGACATCAGGACTTGTCCTTTTTTTGTAGGATACGATTAAAATGTCACTTCTATTTTAATCCTAATGATATCATTATACAACTTAAAGACGTTTGTATCTCTATTAGTCATAAAAATTGTAAGTTGCATTCTTCGTTAAGAATATAAATATTTTATATTAAAAAAGACCAATTCGTTCTACTGTAACTTTCGCCTTAAATGCAATTTTTTTAATGAATTGAAAACTGACATCAAAACACTTTTCTTTCCTAAGTCTAAGTGTTATATAATATTAACATAGCAATTAATAATATAATATCATTATGTAAAAAGCTCCAAAACATAATTCGTTATATTAATGTCCTCTTTCTTTTAAATTTCACTTCATAAATAGAGAAGCCTAAGACCAACACAATAATATTCGGTAGGATTATACCTTTTTCGAATATTTTACGCGCTGTGTTCTTAGTTCTTCAGTATTTCGATTGTAAGAAGTTCTTACAATCGAAATACCGAAGAAGTAACACATTAAGCTTAACAAAATTCTGTTATAACATTTAGTAGGTAGGATAATGATAGCTGACTTCACTGTATCCTTCACTTTTGTATTTGATTTGTATTAAAATAAATTTTGTTCGATTCTGTAACTACCTATCAGCGAAAGTAAATTAAGTATTTGAGCGACAAATCATCGAATTGACCGTAAAGGAATTTTTTTTATATATTCTACAAGTTTTATAAGCTCCGTATTAGCTTTAAGAATTTTACAAGAATCATTTATATCTTTATTCCAATTATCATATCTCTTTATACATATCCATGTATAAAAAATAAAAAAAATCTGAAAAAAAAACTGTAAGGAAATATGTGTATAATGTTTGTAATTGAATTTTTATAATGAAATTTAAATTTAAGATTATATTATCACAATTAAGGTATATCCGACATAGTTTGAATAAAGTTGTATGTACACATAACATTCGTCCAGGCATTTATTACAGTATTGTTACGATAGTGAGTAGTTAGTGGTAATTTTACTAATTATTTGATTAATGTATAAAAATATTTTTCTCCAATGCTGTGACATTATGTAATAAATGTAAATTATTTTAGGAAATTTCGGAGCCTGCATAGGACAAAAGGATTACAACAGGTCAGTACCATGTTATTAGGAGGAAATTATTTTATTTGTAATAAAAAAATTTGAATAAGTATACTTATTATAAATATGAACACATTGCTAACATATAGCATAGTGACCGATTTACATCATTTTGTATGTAAAAATTTTTAGTACTTTTTAACGTATGCAGCGTACAATCATAAAAAAAAGATGTGTTTATACTTTATTAATCTAAGCAAACTAATTTCAAATATTACAATTATTTAATTTAATTTCGTCATTTATACAAAACTATGTATTTCAATTTAAAGGATTTTTTTAGAATTCATTACCTTCCCGACAAAAACTTAGACGAAGAAAACTCATTTACCACATTCAACACCCAAAATCGTCGTTCTGCTAAGGATAAACAAGTTTTTGAGGGCCATGATTACAATGATTATAGCAGCGGGTACTCCAAGTTATGGCCGCCGTATTTTACACGCTCCGAGACGGCCAGTGCAAAAGAAAAAGTCGCACTCAAAGTCCACCGACCACATGAAGACCCCAAACTTTTCTATCAATCTCAGTCCTACCTTAAAGAAATTAATAACCAAAATTTGGAAAATGAAGTAGCGTCCATTTATCCCGGTAGAGAAGTGATTTGGGCTGACGAAAACCATTCTATTCCTAAAAACTTATTAAGAAGCGGAGAACTGAATCACATTTCAAGTTCATGTGAATATTATTTTATAACTTTGTTCGATCTGTTTTATATAATGTCGTAAAAAACTTGAAAGATATAATTTTTATTTTTAGCATCAATACCGTGTATTAGATGTCCACATGATAGAACACTAATAGCCAAAAAAGGCGTAGATCGTGTTGTTTTACAAGCACCAAAACTGACTGCATGTTCTGGAAGTAAAGCACCTAACAACATTCGTTTTGTCCGGATGTACGGATCTAAATTTGGTACATTAATTCAGCAAGGCTCCCACGTCATTCTCGGTCGCATTATGCACAAGAATAAAGTGAGTTTATTTCGGGATATCCATCAACAAGAGCATTCCTAACAATCTTCAGATACCATTGATTTATGTTGCAGACTCTCCAGCTTTGCAAAATGCAGGTGCACGTTATAATACAAACTTGTCCAACTCCAAGATATTTGATATCCCACTGTGATGAAAACACAAATATATGTACTTTCAAATGTAGAGTCGAGTCCTTAGAATTGGAAGGAAAAACTGAATTATCTTGTGGGGAAGATTTACAATGGCAAGGAAATCTTCCAGTTTGCAGGGGTACTTCAAAATATTATATTATTGCACATTTAATTCGTTCATACCAAAATATTATTCAAAATCTCTTATGATATTTTATCATTTTAAATTGAACCATTATGAAAAATAAAATGGTTATCGAAAATTAAAGAACCTAATAAATTTTAATTTTAGCTCGCAATTGGTGTCATCCTCCAATACCTGCAGACAAGGGTAAAATAAGCTGCAGAGGTGCAACTCCTGGAAAGAATATAGGGTTAGTTGAAGGATCACGATGCAGAGTTCGTTGCCCCCAGGGTTGGCACTGGGACAAAGCTGTTGCAGTTTGTCGGCGTGGTGAATGGACAAATGTACTAAGATGTCTTCCTAAGAGAAAAACGATACTGTAAATACATTTTTACTTTAATGTCATGTGAGTTTAAAACACTATTGAATCAATATTCAATAAATATTAATATAAAAATAAGTTAAAATAAAGAATGTAAACAATTTTTATAAGTCCTATAGTTTTATACATGTATAATTGATTTTTCATAAAGGTAGAAGTCTATTTTAGACTTAACTATTTCATAAACTATATCAAAGTCAAACTAGAATTTCTGTATAATTTTGACTGCTCGTTCGATTTTGACGTCTGTTGAAAATTTTTTTTCATTATTCCGCTTCATGTGGTAACTCTTAGTAAATAGTTTATTGAGATTTATATGCAATAGTCCAATAGTTTATTTAGATGTACCTATTAGTTATTGTTTATTAAAGAGTTAATATATCTTTTAATAAATTTTTTGCTTTTTCTTAAAACATAAATTGTAGCTGTTGACATGTTAACCGCTATATTTTCTCTTAAAAAGGGTTAATACCTATTTATTTCGTGGAATTGTTGATATATATGCAGTATAAAAACAAAATTGTTAAATACATACTTTCTTTAGGAAGGAATCTTTCACTTCAGTTAAAATACCATTAAAACGCTTTCAACTATTCCAAAAATTATTACAAATGAAGAGAAATATACAGGTTGACCATAATCTTTAAAATAATATTAGTCTTCATATTATTTTAAACACTATGAACATTTAATAAAAATATATTTTATTACAAAACAAAATTAAAAATACTCATAGACAAACTTGTACTTTCACGTTGTCTATGGTACATACCGACCGCGCTTTTAAATTTAGAATTAGCTTTTGACATTTGTAACCGTTGCGTGTTTTGCTTTTAATTTTGGTGCTTCATAACAACTAATATTTCTATTTTTAATCGATTTATATTGTAAAATGTATTAGAATCTCTCATACTAGTAAATAATTAACTAAATAAGAATTATCAAGAAATTGAATTATTAAGAAATGGGAAGTAATACGAGTAAAACTAGCCCCGAGCCAGCTGCTCCTTCACAAAAAAACGATTCAGACAAGGACAATCCAGATCCTCGCTCTCCTACGCCTGAAATAACTCGGACTCCTTTACAGGTATTTGGAATACACCCATACTGTATTTCAATCGTAAAGTTTATTAAGTTAAGGATATAACTACTAATTCAAATGTGAGGTAGATAGTAAAATTTCAATACTATAAAACTCCACAGGCTGTAATATGTTTAATTCTATTTCAATATGAAATACTCGATACTATTTCTTCACTATATATAAGTTGTTAACAACTTTAGGTTTCGTAATCTAATATAGAATAGCTTTATGACTTATTTCTTAAGACTTTCTATTTTGCTGATAATATTTATATGTATATTTTTTACTTACAAGGGCAAAAATGGCGGGAAGCACAATATAACAAAAAATGTTGACTTACGAAAAACTTTTGAAAGTGGCAAAACAGATGAGAAACTTATCCACAATAACCCTATTCTATCAGCTGTTATTAAAAACCACCTACAATCCTACGATCCTCGTTCACCATCTCAGGACTTTGAAAGAACACCAATTATAATAGCTTCTAAAACTGACAATGATCCTGATAAAAAGTTATTAAAACTCCAAAGTGAAAACTATGGCAGTCCATGTCTCAGCAATGAAACTATTAAACTTGATGAAACTTCTTTTGACACTAATGAGATTAGTCCCGATTTAGTTGTGCCTAAGAATTTATGTAATGGCTTTTATGACTTAACATTAAATGACACTTTGAAAGAAGATGAGGAACCTTTAGGTTCTTCAACTACATCAAATGAAAATATTGAAAGTAATATGTCTAAAGAACACAATGAAGGAACAAAATTATTGGAAACCAATTTTGAATTTGTTGAAGAAGAGAGCAACAGTATTGAAGAAAGACAATGTGGAGAAACTCATGATGTTAAAAATGTGGATGTTGATCTGAAACATGTCCCCCTATTTAAAATTCTTAATGAGGATCCAAGATCTCCCTCCACAGGCATTGAAAGGACACCAATTGTAGTATCTAAAATTGATGTCAACACTAGTGAGGAAAATGTTGAAAATATGTCAGATGATTCATTAATTAAAGCACTACAGAATAATGGACAAGACATCAGTCCTGAAAACATTCCAGTTTATGAAGATGAATCTAAAGCACATATTGATACACCAAAGAAAGTTAAAGCAACTAGTGACAGTGGCTCCAGAACACCACTGTCTTGCATGAAAAATAGGTCAGATGCTAGCCACACTAGATCAAAATCAACTAACATGCTTTATGACCCTAAAAAGGAAAAGGTTCAGAAGAGAGTATCACACATTCCAAGGTTGAAATCTTTGTCGAAGCAACCAAAATATATTGCTAATAGGAGCACTGTGTCTTTAAAAAACCTTTCTAAAGCTGGTATCAGTGGTGATTGCGAAAACACTCCACCTCATTCACATCGTGACATATGGGATAAGGAAAGCAGCATTGTCCTGTGAAGAAATCTTACTATAACACTTGATATATTTGGGGTGAATCAATTAGTGTTATCCCCCATTGATCAGCTGAGTGCATCTTGACACTAAAATATGCATATATCATTTCATAACTTTATTTTATTAAAAATGACATCCTCTAATAAAAAATATGTTTTCTATAATTTTGTTCTAGTAATAAATAAAACTTGTGTCACAATAAATAATGCCACAAACATATTACTTTAATTTCAATATCAGCTGAATGATAGAAATCTTACGAAATATTAAATTTTCCATTTGATAAATATAATGTTATGTATGTAATTAAACAGAAAGTAGTGTTGCATAATTTTGGAACAATTCTTAATTACTAATATCACAAAATAAGTTAACAAAAATTAAATAAATATTGCACTCAAAAACCTTAGTCTCTTTTGGTTTTCAATTTCCATTGGAATCTCAAAATAAAATTTAAAATTCCACCATTTGTTACTGGTCTTAGAACCAATCAAATCTTATGGTGCACTGTCAAAGCTGATAATTAGCTATTGAGCTGTGTTTAGTCAACAAGAACCATTTTAACTTTCTCACATAAATAAAAATTCATTTCTGGCTTCAGATACATGGATACAAGAATGAAATAGTAGACCTAAGCTAATGTAATCTAAGGGAATGTATAAGAAAACAAGTTTAAAAACAAAAAAAAGTTTTGTTTTACAACATACATTTATTGAAACTGATAAAGAAAAGCTAGATTAACAATTTTAAGTTTTAGATTATTATCAGTATAAGAAAAACAGTTATGGGTATAACACACTTGTAAATAACTTTTGGAATGGTTAAGCAATGAACATACATAAATACATACAATAAGCCTTACTAACACAATCATCGGCAATTTTGAAATTGTGTTCAAGCTTTTTCCTTTTACTGGGTAAAACAAGGCGTCTTAAAAATATTCTTGGGTCATTACATTCATTAGCCCTTTAAAGTCCACGAAGAGCTAAAAAGTAATAAAAAATTATTATTAAATAAGTGAGTTAGAATATACTTAATATACAAATATTTATACTGCAGAGTAAAGTGAGAAAGTTATGTGCTTCGTTTTTAGGATCTTTTATTCTAAAAAAATATTCATTAATCAGAATAAAATCTATAATTAGCTTGATATTTATCATAACACTATTTGGCACAGATTTTTTAAATACAATTATAAGGAATGTTTGCTTTTAAATAACACAGTATTTTAGGAAATAAACATTCCATTGATATTGAAATACAATTATTATATAAGAGAATATGAATTCGAAAAAAATATTTTTATATATGAAATGACTACATACATATTTGAAATCATATCTAAATAAAAATACACACATTTTTGCATATGTACTTTTTCAAATCAAGCTGCGAAAGTACATATGTGGGTATTATACATCTATCAAATTAAACCTACTTCTTCAAAGTATACATTTTCACTTATCTTCTAACATTTAAAGCCATTAAGGCTAGGTACTCTACAGACAAAGATTCAAAGTCACAAGAAATACATTTAGATATAAAATTTTTAACAAACACATTAAGTGCTTGACTTACTTGTAAACAATTTCTACTTTTGTGAATATATAATTTATTACTTTTTGACACGAAACTACCCTAATATAATATCTAAACGGGGGCATTCTTGACAACATATGTGTTTTGTTACTATGTAGAGTTGAAAGTTCTGTGACCAGCCAGCACTATGACAGAAAAAACAAAGCTTACTCATATTTTTTTCATGAAATGAGTGACTTCTCCTTGGTTCCAAGGTTTGCTTAAAGTTGATAAGAGTACTGCAACCAATCACCAGCTTTTAGGCAGATGAGAACCATAATGGAAATCGCATGATTCTTGAAGTAAAACACGCCGTCTTTTTTTTTTGGATACTGGTTATTATATCCATTCAGTGGTTCAACGGCAATAGATGAGAAAGTTTAATATCAAAATACTCCAATATCATAACACCGGTAAGCTACTCAAGCCTAAGAAGCGACCTTAAACGAATTGGCTGAGGGGATTAAAAGTAGCGACATAGTATTTGTATCTGTACTCTATATTAGGTAAAGAGTACTTTTATTAATTTCACTCTGGAAAGGATGTATAGAGGCAAAATCGTTATGAACTTGCTCAGTATCGATCACCATCTTATAGGACGAATTATATCAGAACAGAGATGTCTCTGTAAAGGATTACAAACAGTGATTCATGAATTTAATAGCCTTCAAGAAATTTCAGCAGCGAAAGCAATTTAAAACTAATCAAGCACAATAGAAAGCTATTACATTAAGTTGTACAAATTAGCTTTTCTTACACTAAATAACAATTTAGTATTTTATAATAATACAAGAAATCTTATAGAACATAATATCTTCAGCTAATCTTTTTTCAAAAAATCAGCTGGTAAAAGCAACCCTCACAAGTATACCAGTAAATATAAAATCATCATTCATAAGTATTTATTTAAGTCGGGAATTTTATGTGTATACAATATTTTAACTGGCAGTGTCTTGTAAAAAAAAAAGGTAACTATTAACATATACTATATAGAAAATTTTTAAGGATATTATTTTAAGTACATTTACATATGTTTTTGATTGTAGCTATAATAAAAATTATTATTAACAATCTTTCATGAGCAGAATAGTAAATATTCAGATATTTCAAAATATTTAAATATGTATTTATATTCTATACAATAATAAATACAAAGCCAAACAATGTAAGGCATTTTAGTTTGTACTATAAAATACTACAACTATTGTATAATATGGGGCCTCATTTAGGAAAATTTAAATGCTATATTAGCAGTCACATATACCAACAACATTATTCCACCTTTTGGTTGCCTTTCCTAACATAATTTTCAAAAACAACTTTATGATATACTATATTTTCTGAATTTAAATCTTCATATTCATATATATATCTTTGTTGTACATTCTATACAACATAAAAGCTTATAAAATTATTGGTAGATTTATTAATCAATGATTAAGTAACATATATCAAATTGAATGATATTTAGTATCTACAAACTTAATGTATTACTGATTAGTTAAATATAATATGTTAAAACAGTGTTCATAACAAAATATATACAGATAAAAACAAATAAATTGAAATAACATAATTAAAATTCAAATAGAAGATTATGGAATGAAAAAATCCATTTACAACACCAGGACTTTGATTTGCAAGCTCCATATATCATACTCCAGGAGTTCCAGCTATTGTATATATTCTCTCTGAATTTTAATTAAAATATTAAGATCAACAGTGCTTTAATATTGGAAACAGAATTATAGGAATTCTATACTATTAACTCCTAGACATATGGTGGGTATGTTAGAATTACCCGTAATTATTTTCCCAATTTTGTTTACTTTCTCTTTGTAAGAGTATGATTTTATAAACAGTATTTGGAACTTGTCCAAATATTCACTTCACTTATAATCTAAAGCTATGTTTTAGAAAAAAAATAAATAATAAATTACCAGTACTACTTGGCTTTGTAACAAATGTGTTTTAAATTAAAAAACTAGAGGAATTAAGTAATGTCAGGGTAAATGGCAAGGTTGCAGACCAGGTTAGTTCATTATTTCATGCAGTTTATTCCTTGGTATCATTCTTTTCTGGAAAAAAAATGATTGTTCTATAGAATATGTTAAAGGTTTAATTATTTTATTATCCCTGTAATTTTAATCATCTTAAGATTCATAAATGAGAAAATAATTCTGTTAAGGGTGCTAACAGAGCCATGCAATTTTTATAACAAATAGTTTGTGATATAGGAGACAATTGTAATTACAGTTTATACTGGTTTTAAAACTAAACACATACATTTTATGATGAACATGTACAAACTGAGAAAATAATACAAGAAAGTTATGCAATCTATGAGGAGTCCCTATGATTAAGAACACCTTTTCAGTAATCCAAACTGGTTAGTATGCTAAAGTTTCAATATATAAATCAAATTAATATTAAAATTGATCACAGCTTCAAATGTAAATTTAACAAGTTAGTTTATTGTTATTCAGCTTAAAAACATCATTGATATGAATTTAATGAAGAATACACACCTGGTTCACTACTTTGTAAGTTTTGAGATACAAAATCACGTAACTCAGAATATGCCTTGTCCAAGTTGTCATTGACAATGATTATGTGGAAATTACCGGGTTCTTGACCTGAAATATAAAATTCAAAATTTTCAAAACACAAATACAGCTACAGTGACTTTGCAAGTTACTTAGAAATATTAATTTATTTATACAGCAAAATTTTAATACTGCCACATATTTTATGACCTTGGCCTTTATATAATAATGTTGATAACATTGATAAAAATAAGAAAACTAAATTACTACAGCCAAATTTATAATATCATTCAACACTACGAAATTTACAATTTATTTCACAATGTAAAATAAAGTTCACCTCTGTAAGTTTGGTGGTTTTACTATAATATAAACATACCATATACAATTTCACGACTGGCTGTCTCCAATCTTTTCTTTAATGCATCCTCTTGTTCTGTGTTACGAGCTCGTAAACGTTTCTCGAGCTGTTCAATATTTGGTGGCATCACAAACACAAGTAGTGGGTCTAAGTCCGTCTGCTTAATCTGCTTCACACCCTCTATTTCTATGTCCAAAATGCATGTCTTGCCAGTGCATCGGACATCTTCTACTGCTCTCTTGCTATATTTTATAATTATTTTCTTTTATATTTATCAAAGTTAATAAATTATTATACATATATACCAATAAATCTATAAGTATTATAAAAATAACATATTATTGATTCCTTTGTATTAATAATGTGTTTAATGAAATATCTAGGACATTACAGTAGAATAAAGTAAACAATGACTTGTACAGAAGAAACTTTGGCACCTAGCCAAAATAGAAGCACATGGTTTTTAAACTAAGAGACCTAATCATTTACCTTGTCCCATACATATTTCCGCTAAATGTTGCAGTTTCTATAAATTCGCCTTTTTCAACGGCAGCAATCATATCACTTTTATTAGTAAAGTGATAATGAACACCATCTTTTTCGCCAGGACGAGGACCTCTTGTGGTATGAGATACACTAAATCCGAACTTGTCAGGAAAATCATTTAAAAGCCGCTTCAGCAATGTACTTTTCCCTGAGCCGGAGGGTCCACAAAGAACCAAGGGACGAGGACCTTTCTGCACCATTGTAGCAAATACTGAAAAAATAATTTAATTAAATATAATATAAAATATTAATACATTGCAAGTGTAATCACATACATCGTAACAGATTCGTGATGGAATTTAATGCTAAACCTCTTAGAAGTATTTTTAACAGTTCGTTAGATATATTAATGAATAAAATACTTTGGCTTTAAGAATCGCAAAATAACTAGATATTACTTCGAGTTCACGATTTTGCGTATAACGTCAATCCGGTGAGTACCTGAGTACCAATTGGATTAAATTTTGTCACTTGTCAGTAGTCAGTACTCACTAGTCAGTAGGTATCTACCATCTACCCATCAATAGTTAAATCATCATCAATGTGATTAGGAAACAAATATGACGGAATAATTATTATATTTTTGTAATATTATAATTTATAAATTTAAAATATTTAATTTTATAATATTTCATATGGTAACTGGACATAGTATAAAAAGATATGAGAGTGAATGAAATACAATTATTGTTTTTGATGTCGGAATTTGTACTTATTATTGATATATTAATATAGTCCAAGCACTACATATATATTTTCAAAAGTGTCATATTTTTAATAAAAACGGTTTTTTTTATACATATAAAATAATACATTTAAATTGGTAAAAAATATCAAGTCATTGTTTTATGAATAATTAAAAAGGATTATTGGATTTTATAAATATAATTTTTAAATATTGGTCGTAGTGCATGTTTATAAAGCAGTTTTAAAGAAAGTATGTACATATTTAAATGTTGACACAAGAACTTAAAATGTTATGAAATAAAAAGTACACACAAGTTTAAAATTTATAAAATAAATATGTTATTTGCAAAATTTAAGTTATAAGTAGCTTAATCGTATCAATGTTATTTTAATATCTTCTGTGTTATTAAGATTGACCAATCACTGGGTTGAAGTCTTTATTTTATGCGTAACCTTTAGATTTATTATCTATGGACAGTTTAGAAAAATAAGTCAACTTGAATTCTGACCGTTATTTTCAATCGATATCATTCATGTGTCGCACGAATACACAGCACACTCATTTTATCAAAGTTCACTAATTTTGGGACGATTATATTTAATGTTTCCTTTGGGGGTCACTATTTAAGTTGCGTATGCATAATACCTACGAAGTTACGGACTACTAGTTCTTATTTGGGCTAGGTTTATTAATAATTATGGACATTCAAACGAGACGGCATAGAACGGTAAGATGACTTTTAATTGAATACTTGTGGCTATCAATTTAATATATTTATTATAATAAAAGTTTGTGACCATTATTAGGTGCAGATTCAGGATCAAGAAAATGCATATGTTACCAAAAAGATAAATTTGGTTATTCCAAACAAACGACAAAGTTTAACTGCGAGAGGAGCACTCGGGGATATTAATACAAATGTAGAAATCCAACGTGGAATAAACGTCGGAAAGGTTACAGGTGCGGCTGCCGAGTGTGATAAAAAGCCGATAGTTAAACGTGGACCTCTGCGGTAATATATAAAATCTACCCTCATTTTTGATATAATTAAATCACTACATTTTTTTTAAACTGTATATAATAATTTCAGAACTTATAACCATGTACAGTCTAAAGTGGACACAGGCTTGGCTAGTAAACCTATTATTCAGCCTTCTTCAAGGCCTCCGTTGAGAAGAGAGGAGAGTACTGCCGGATTAGCCGCTCGGGCAGTGCGCTCAAAGGTTAGTGAATATAGAATGTAACTCAATTTATGTTTATTAGATTATATATATCTAAATTATATACGGTAGAAACTCGATTAATGGGAAAATTGTTGTCAATATTATCGAAAATCCGGATAATCAAATGTATGAAGAAATGCGGGTTTTGTGCTTATGTAGTTCATAATGTAATTTGTCATGTCATCAAATTGTATGGTTATTTATAAAATAAATTACAATATGTATTAAGTAATTTGCAATTAGTAATCATGAATTAAAATAATGAGTTTCATTTGGTACAGAATATTTGACATATGCCACTCTCAACAAGACCACTCTCTTTCGCTTTGACATTTTTTCTTGTCAGGACTTGTCCACAGTCTGGATAATCACGAATCCTTATAACTGAGGGCCAGATAATTGAGTTTCTACTGTATATTCATGGTCTTCTCAGACTTTAAATTACTATAGTATTATTTTTTATTTATTCTAGGTTTTTTATACTTTTCATTCAACATTTTTAGGAATGTTAAATACTATAATAAAAAAATTCTCATATTAATTTCTTTAAAGAACTTGTTATTTTTTAAATATTTTTATTCTCAAATTATTTATGTAGATGGGAACTTTGCTAACTTTTAGTAATACTTTTTCATCAAGGCAGTGTATGTTTTTTTAAATTCTATTAATTATTTATCTGCCTTTCTTTCCTTAGGCTGGATTAAAGGACTGTCAAAATGATTTGAAAGAGACAGCGACCACTATCCTTCAAGGAAAAAAAATCATAGAAACTAAAAAAGCAACTAAGTTACCGACACTTAAAGAGAATGCAAAAGAAACTAAAAGTATACTAAAACCTATTCTTAAAGATCCCATTGAATCATTATGCAAACTAAAATTAGTTGAAGAAACAAAATCAAAAAAGATAAATATTTTAGAGACAGAAAAAATACTTTTACCACATGACATTGAAGATATTGATGCTAATGACAAGAATAGTCCATTGCTTATGTCCATTTATATTAAAGACATTTATAAATATTTGACTGAACTTGAAAAGAAGTATCCAATTGAATCAGATCATTTAAAAAACCAGGTTTGTGTGTAATTTTATTATTATAACTATCAAAAATATTACTGTTTGTTTCTATGTAATATATTGTTCTTTGCTACAGTCCCTTAAAATAAATTTGTTAATTTCAGACTGTGATCACTGGCAAGATGAGAGCTACTCTAATTGATTGGTTGGTTGAAGTGCAGAGACAGTTCTCGTTAGTTCTTGAAACCTTCCATTTAACTGTTGGCATTATTGATCGCTATTTACAGGTAAAAATCAAACTTATACCTAGTTATCAATTAGTTTGAGATTAAGCACATAAAGTCATTTAATACATTATGAATCAAATTTAAATAACTACTCCTAGTTATGATGCTGAGGTAAAAAAGACAAAATAAAATTTCTCATGAATAAGGATGCTTTAGATTTTGAAGTTACATTTAATTTCATTAGAGGGAAATATGTTTATGAACTCTAGTTAGCTTGCTTGTTCTTTATTTATTTTTATTTAGTGTCCCAGAAATGCTTAACTTCATTGAGTAATATTTCTACATCTTTGGAATTTTTTTATTAATAAAATTTATAAATATAATGTAAGAGGTCTTATACAATAAATTCAATTATAAAAATGTATTTTTATAATGTGATGTAAAATTTAAAACTTATTATTTCCATTCTAGGCTGTGCCAAATGTGCAAAGGAATCAATTACAGCTTGTTGGAGTAACAGCAATGTTCATAGCAAGCAAGTATGAGGAGATTTATGCTCCAGATGTGGGAGACTTTGTTTATGTAACAGACAATGCTTACACTAAGTCTGATGTCTTCCAATGTGAGAGAGATATCATGTCCAAGCTTGGATTTTGTCTAGCACGGCCCATTCCCTTAAGTTTCTTAAGAAGGTAAATTAACTGTTTGCTTGTGCTACTATTATAAGAACATTGTTTAAACAGCTAGATGTTTATAGCGTACATTAAAAACTGCTGTTTAATAGCTTATTAATTATCTGTTTCAGGTTTGTAAAAGCAGCTCATGGAACCTCCAAGAATCATCACCTTGCCAAGTATTTTGTTGATCTCAGTCTTATTGAATATTCAATGGCACACTATCGTCCTTCTGAACTAGCAGCTGCTGCATTATGTCTGTCCTTGTATCTTCTCTCCACTAAGAAATTAACTGATGTTTGGACTCCCACATTGTCTTACTACTCTGGGTATAAACTTAAACACATTGAACCTATTATACAAAAAAATTGCAAAAATTGTTATCAATGTTGAGAACTCTAAATATCAAGCAATCTATAATAAATATCTAGATGCTACATTGGCAAAAGTATCAAGTCTCCCTCAACTTAAAGGGGAAGTTATACATGAGTTGATCAACAGTTTGTAACTCAAATAGACCTGTAAAATACATTTAGGTAAAAATATTCTATTTAGCATGCATTTTTGATGTTTGGACAAATAAGAAGGACTGAGATTTTTATTAGGGTTAATTTTTAAACATCTAGCAATAGTTCTTGCATTTAAATATTGTTTATAATTGCGTGATGACTTCTGACTAATGACACATACTGGTTTTAAGCTACAGACATGGTAATATGAATTAAATAGAGACAGCTATATTTCAAATAATTACAGATAGATGTATTGTATTAGCAAGTTTTTTTAATGATAAAATTTGAATCATTTACACTAATCATCACATAAATAAAAATTTTCTTCCAGACTCAGTTTTATTAAACGAAAAGATGTAAAATAGGGCACAGATTTTTGTGTGCATTATATTTAATTTATTTTATAATAATATATTTCTAACATTTGTTTTAATAAGTAGGGGTTATATTAATCCCTTTTGAACTGAATATAAACGAATACAGTTTTGCAGTCTCAGAATATTCTGATTTACTATTATTAATTAATATTAAGACTTATGATGGACCAAATAACTTATTGTGACATGTGATGTAAATAACATAAGCTACCTTTTAATCTTTAGATGATAAATGTAATATAATTTTGATAAAACTGTGATTTTGTATATGTATTGTAATGTAATTTGTTGAAGATAGTTTTTAATAAAATTTATGACAAATGAAATGTTTCGTTTTACTTTGATACATTTTAAATCAAAGTAAAGGTTAATAAATTATTAAAGCTTATTCCATAAACTCTACACCCAATATGATCATATTCCCCACTAAAAACTGTTCCTATCATTTAGTCATCATCATTTGCTTACTGAAACCATCTAGGAACACACTATGTTACTTCACAGTCAGTAGGATATCAATATATCATGCTTGAGGCCAGAGTCGAATTTAGTAACATTGGATCAAAATTCCTTTGTCTCTTAATATTTTCAATAATTTCACTTAAACATGCTTAATATTAAAGTTAATCTAATTTAAATATGAAAAAAGTCCTTAATATAACTAGACAATATAATCGAATGTACTTCTCGATTATTTTTTGAATGGCCTTACTCTATCCTTAAAGCGGTTTCGGATTGGGCCATAATGATGGATACGAATGAAAAACTATTCAAAATCCTTGAGGATATTTGTGCATCTGCCTCCAGACTCGAAATATGTATTCTCGAATTTTTAAAGCGCATTGTAATAATAGAGCTTACGGTTCCTTGGGAAACCAACATCCCCCAAGACTATACCATCAAGGTCAATAACTATTACGAACTCACTCGAAATAGATTCGATTTATACGCGGTAGAAGTGGAAGCGAGAGGTATAACGGCTAAATCTCTCTACAACCTACTAAAAGACTTGGGCCTGCCAAGAACTCACATCAATTCAATCTTGGATCGTACCTACTTCGAATGTAGTCCTAGTAAGTTATTTTAAAATTTGGTTAGGTAGAGAGAGGAGCTAGGGGCCTCTTAAACCTACACCTGGACCTGGACCTGGCAACACAAGAGGTTTCGTCTTTCATATAATTTTTAAATTAAATAAAACTAATAATAATCTACATTGGACACCTCTGACTGGATCCTGATTTTTATCCTACAATTTTTTAGTTTTAATTACTTTTCACCCGTCGGTCTCCTGACATACAAACTATATTAAACAGGTCTAGTAAAAAGATTTTGAAATGTTGATGATAATCGAATTGATAAATACTAAAGAACAAGAGTTGAGGTTTAGGTAGTTATATTTAAATCAACTTTCGTCAACAAGATATACCCCTTGGCCCTTATTATAAAATATTATAATTGGTTTTATCATAAACATTTTGAATCGAGTTTGTCAGATAGTTACATATTAAAAAATAATTTTAATGGATAGAAATATTTTTTATTTTCAATGACTTATCGGTTTAAATAATTATAGAAAATAATTTTATTTATTACTGCTTTACCAATATGGACAATTTTTTACTTTTTCCAGGAGAGAGCAATGAAGGAAATTATAAAAAAAAATATGTTAACTTATTTTTATTTTTCCATGCATTGGAATAAAATATGTATAAATCTAAAATAAAATATTCAAACATTTTTTTGTTCATTTTTATTTGTGTAAAAACAAATTAAGTTCTAACGAAAACATAAATATTCATTTAGATATTGTAACACTAAAATTTAAGTAAAATTATTGTCTATGCTATTGTACACTTGTCTATTGATAGAAATTTAGACGTTATTTTCGAGTTGGTTGCGGCTGGAGATTAAGCTGTTAGTTTTATAAAAACTGTTCTGGATCTGTTTGCACTACAGTAATTTAAAGAAAAGATAATATCTTTGCACATAGCATAATAATCTTTCTGACGATAACGACTAATAAGGTCGTATATAACGAAATATGGACGTTCAAGTGAGAAGACACCGAACGGTAAGAGTCATACAAATTCACTAACACCAGCTTTATTCTGATCAATATAATTATAGCATAATTTTTTCATCCCAGGTCCAAAATCATGACCAAGAAAATTATTATGCTACCAAAAAGGTAAATTTACTTATTCCAAATAAACGACAAGGCTTGAGTGTACGCGGCGCTCTCGGTGAAATTAATACTAACGTTGAAATTCACCGTGAAGTAAATGTTGGCAAAGGGACTAATGCATCTGCTGAACTCGAGAAAAAGCTGATGGTTAAACGTGGCGTTCGGTAAGATTTAATTTTGCCTACCCCCGTTATTAGTCAGGTTGACTATTATTACAGCAAAATATAACGATGATAATATTTTAATATTATCTTCATGATTTAAATTTCTTATTTTAAATGATTTCTACAATATAATGTTTTCAGTAACTACAATCATGTGCAGTCTAAAGTTGATACCGGGCTGAATGGTAAGCCAATCATTCAGCCTACTTCAAGACCTCCGTTGAGACGTGAGGAGAGCACTGCTTATGCAGCTCGTGCAGTTATACAAACTAGAGTAAGTTTATAATATGTAATACTTAATATCTTGCTTTTAAAGCAATACAATTATTCTAGTACCTTTTTCACTGATATATTGGCTTGAAACAAGATTAATTCCTTTTCACTAAAAAATTATAAGTAACATTATCATAAATTAGTTTTTTATATAATATTAGCCGAAATAAATGTTTTTGATGAAGCCAAAAGATTCTTGAATATCAAGAAAAGATGACATTATTTCTTAATAATTATAAACATATAATAGTTTTTTGGTGCAAAAAATTCTCAATGTCTTTAGCACTTATCCTATCAAAATTAATTTAGAATAGATGTTTATGGGTTAGCTAATTTATTCTATATATCCTGTAAATATATGTGTCCCTAAATACTAACAATACATATTTCTAAATTAATAATATTAAAATACACTGTTTAGGCTGCCTTGAAGGAATCACAAAATGACTTTGCTGAATCTGGAAATGTATTTCAACAAGCAAAGAAAATTCAGGAAACAAAGAAAGCAACAAAGGTGCTGGCTAAAGGAAGCACAAAGGAGACAAGAAGTCTGCTGAAACCTATTTTAAAAGATCCATCTGAATCTCTGGGCAAACTAAAGATAGTTGAAGAACCGACTTTACAAAAAGAAAAGATTGTTGAGCCGGAAGTTAGGCCAGTACCAGAATTACCAGATGACATTGAAGATATTGATGCTAATGACAAGAATAGTCCATTGCTTATGTCCATTTATATTAAAGACATTTATAAATATTTGACTGAACTTGAAAAGAAGTATCCAATTGAATCCGATCACTTACGAAACCAGGTTTGTACAATAATAATTATTATATTAAAACTCATATACATGTTTAAATTGTTTTTAACATATTACTTTACAGACTGAAATCACTGGCAAGATGAGAGCAACTTTAATTGACTGGTTGGTTGAAGTGCAGAGACAGTTCTCTTTAGTTCTTGAGACCTTCCATCTAACTGTTGGCATTATTGATCGCTATTTACAGGTAAAAATCAAACTATACCTAGTCAAGAATTATCCTAGATTTTAGAGGATCTTATTACTACTTTATAATGTGTAGTTATTATTAAACAACTTGCTTATAGTACTGTTGCTGAGATATGTTAGCTTTAGATTGTCAGATGGCTGCAGCTTGTTTGTGTACACTTATTTTGTAAATTTTCTAAGTACATGAAAGTACATTTTATCAAGTAATATTTATACTTATTAGGTAATATTACTATGGAAAAAAAAATATAGATATATAAAATTTATTCAATCTATTCATGTTTATTTAAGACAATAAAATATAAGACTTATTGTTTCATTCTAGGCTGTACCAAATGTGCAAAGGAATCAATTACAGCTTGTTGGAGTAACAGCAATGTTCATTGCAAGCAAGTATGAGGAGATTTATGCTCCAGATGTGGGAGACTTTGTTTATGTAACAGACAATGCTTACACTAAGTCTGATGTCTTCCAATGTGAGAGAGATATTATGTCCAAGCTTGGATTTTGTCTTGCACGGCCCATTCCTTTAAGTTTCTTACGAAGGTAAATTATCTGTCTACTTATGTTATTATAAGAACATTGTTTAAACCACTAGATGTTTATAGTATACATTAAAAACTACTCTTTAATAAATTAATATATCTGTTACAGGTTTGTGAAGGCAGCTCATGGTACCTCGAAGAATCATCACCTTGCCAAGTATTTTGTTGATCTCAGTCTTATTGAATATTCAATGGCACATTATCGTCCTTCAGAACTAGCAGCTGCTGCATTATGTCTGTCCTTGTATCTTCTCTCCACTAAGAAATTAACTGATGTTTGGACTCCCACATTGTCTTACTACTCTGGGTATAAACTTGAACACATTGAACCTATTATGCAAAAAATTGCAAAAATTGTTATCAATGTGGAGAATTCTAAATACAGAGCTGTTTATGATAAATACTTAGATGTAACATTAGCCAAAGTTTCAATGCTTCCTCAGCTTAAAGGTGATCTAATTTATGAGGTGGCAAAAATTCCATTAGATTCTTGAAATTACTGTAAAATAATTCTACCTTATTTATATTTTAGGTGTGATTATCACTGTTTAGTGAATGTTGTGGTTATACTTTGTAACAATAGGCTTAGTTTGTGACTAGGATTGCTTTTAAGTACCTGCATATATGAAATAAATACAATTTTAAATGTAATTGTATGACAATATTTGTTTTAGCTTGAATATTTTGTAATGATATGGGACATTGTATTAATTGTAATGATATTAATTTATTTTAATATATACATATATGTTCAGTTTTTTATTAGAAACTTGACATCTTAAAGGTCCAACAACCAAAGCAACCAACAGCATACCTCTAGTATGTCTAACTTGACTTATCTCTGACATGACTTCTTGTATTTTTAACATGATAGATTGAAATGATCCTTTAAACATGCATATGTTTTAAATTCCTGTTATTATTTTAGAAAAAATTATATGCATAATATTTGTTAATTATTTTATATATACATAATGCATTCTAGTACTATTTTACACGCATTAGTTTTTTTGTTTATGTATATTTATATTTCAGTCCCAAAACATTATTAATCAAATATTTAGACTACTATTTAAGACTTACTGACAATGGACCAAAATACCTACTTGTTAATTATAATGACATGTAACATTTGTAAGCCAAGTTTTTAATGTTTAGATAGATTTTAAATGTAATTTGATAGAACTGTGATTAGATTTATAATTTAATTTGTTGAATTAAAATGTTTTGTAATAAATAAAGTTTTTCATTTACAAAATGTTTCATTTTAACTAATATTCCTAGCTGATAATGGGCATTAGAATTTAGAATTAAGGTCGATTTCGTTGGGAAAATAAACAGCATTGTATACATGCGTCAACTAAGTTGAATTTTTTTATATACATAATTGACAACTATAATTAGTTAACGTCGATCTTTGAAAATATGATTTAAATATTCATTATGGGCTAGCAATAAACTTTTTAAAGGATGGTTTTACAAATTGACTCAAATCCCAAAAAAAAATTTGTTATTTAAAGATACCAATATTTTTTTTATTCATGTCTAAAAATCATGACTTTGATTTATGGTTTGACTGTACGCACCTTTCATGTAATACTGTTGTGTTAAGAATTTAAAAGCATAATCCAGAATTCGAGATGAGTGATTTAAATTTTTTATTAGTTGGGTACTGAGCATTTCATATTTTTTATTTTTAAATGTTTGTATGTATCCGTATATTCTTCATCCGTATATTTCTTTAAAGTTTAGTATAACCATATAAGAAAATGCGAGTCTTATTATTTTTATTGAATTTGAGGCGTTTTAATTTTGGAACTGAATATATAACACACATTCAATATTTTTTTTCTTTGAAAACCTTTTAAAGCTAAGTATATAATAAAAAAGAAATTATTGTAGCACTATATAAATATCAAACTTTCTTTAAAAAAAAAATCCATCCCTTCTTTAATTCGTTTTCGTAATCTGTAGGATAGGTGTTCCTATTTTAATGGAATTTTCATGGAGTAGTAGTTTATAAATAGTAAAAACTGGATATTTGCAATTTGACTTAATATATTAAGTGGTTCAAGCATACCTTCTTATATTATATTAAATTTTAGTCAGTATTTAAATGTTCTTGGTTATATAAAATATTTTTGATAAAGATAAGTAAATAAGATATTTATTAGATATAGTCACATCATGTATTATGACTTTATATTCTTCTTATTCACGAAACAAAAATGTGCATAAGTTCACAAATGTTATATATTCTTAATGAAGTACATAAAACCGTCGACTGCCGCTTTGCGATTTTCACGTTTTTCCCATGCCACAAATTGGGAGAATTTATTGACGCTTGGAGGTTATCCGACCAGCTCTTGTTAATCTTTTATTACCTTTCTTTTGCACTAAACAATGAAATTCATTTCTTCTATGTATAGTGGTAATTGTTTTAAATGTCATCGCAATCGGCTTAAATTCAAACAATGTGCAGTCAAGAACAGTTTAAATTGGCTAGGAAAAACAGTTTACAATAGAAAAACATTTTCCGAGGGAAAATTTATAGCTATGCTCAACTAACTCTAGAAGACATTTTTTTGGGTATTTTGTATCACCACGAGGACAGCTCGATTGTCGTGACTCCTTTTTTCGAAGTAATGCATGTAGATTTCACGCCAACGTTATTATGTCGATGTATACTTACGCATCGCAGCAGTAAAAACTCATAAATTTGAATTTTATTTTGTATATTTTAACTATACTAACATTTATTTTAACTATATTAACACTTATTATCATTTTATACTTAGATTATCAGTGAAAGTTGGTAAGATGCAATGTGCTAAAGATAACTACGTTTATACGGTAAGTAATGCAACAACATCAAGCGACAATTTTGTAGTTAAATTAAAAAATATATCATTTGCGACTACAAAATTGGCAGTTAGTAAAAAAAAAAGATGTTCGGAGACATAGCAGGACAATAGTTTTCCATTGGTAGAATGGACTTGGTCTTTCAGTAAGTACATTAATTACTTTTCGTTAGCGGATTGTTCGGGTATTTCGGGGGTTAAGGTTATTAATTCGCGGGCAACAGTTAGTAACTTTTGTATTTATAAAAGTTCGGAATAGGAAATGCTAATAGATAGCATCACAATCCACATTCATGATATAAATGGGATATTTGTGTTTCTATCTTTTGAATTTTCAATGAATTTAGTAAAGATAACAGATAATAAGGCAGTTAGGATTTGTTTTTTCAAATTATGTAAGTAAAGTACTTGTTTGTTTAGCTTATGATTAAAAATCAAACATCTTCAGGTAATGATTTGAGCCCTGTTCTAATTATTTAATTTTGGAAAAATTAAACCCTCAGACTATAAAGGAATCGAAGACAGGTACCGAAAAAAAAATGTTAGTTAAAAGCGTAATATTTATCACTTAACTGATATAACTATTATAGTACTTATTTTAGACTGTATTTTAATATTTTAGTAGTTGTTATCAATCAATCAAGTATATCAAAAGTGGTATAGTGTACCTACTGCTTTTTGGAGTTTCACTCAAGTATCAATCAATATGTCTTAAATATATGTTATTTTGTCATAACAGCCAAGTTACATGTAATTAAAATAACGTTATTTCACAATAATTTATTAATTAAATCTAAGTATGTATATTTACGGCCTAATAAATCCTGCGTACGTATATTATATTCATATGTTTCTGGACAATTCGTTTGTTGGGTATATTAGATAAAGGCATGTTGGATTTTTAAACAATCGTTTGGTACAATATATGCACATACTCATTGTAATTTTGCAAAGGGTTGTCTCGTAAATATTTCGCCAAAGCAATTTACAGCTTTGGGAATTCTCTTAACGGAATACTGGAGGCAGTTAGTAGAGGTCACGGATATTTATAATTTTTTCGCAATGCTACCTTAGCGCCATTGTTTTTTGACCTCTGTATTGTTTCAAAAAAAAAGTCTTTGTGAAATAATGAGTAATTTGTGTAAAATATTTTTTTGTATTCCCTCCATAAATCCAGTAAATGTATCACGTAGGCAAGAATAAAGTCCTTTTAATAAATATTATAACAATTTTGGTGTACACTGATAATTTAAACAGCACCTATGGCTCTTTGAATAATATAAATTTATTTGTTCTTGTACTTTCTAGACTAGTGAATATTTAAATCGATATTTGAAGTATCGATCTTTTCCCATTATTAATAGTAATAGCTGAAAACGTAATTTCAAAGGAGAAAATTGAAAACTGAATTGAAGTTTCTGAGCGCACCGAGCTTAAATATCACAAAGTTTTGTGTGGCAACAAAATGTTCCATATTATTGTCGTGTTATACTTTTCTACTTAACGTCTGGATCCGCAAGTGTCTCCAAGTAACGTTGCTTCCGTTGTTTCGCAAAGTTTTAACGAGTTTGTTGGACAAGACTAAAAGTGAGAACCGCTGTGACGACCAACGGCTTCAGTCGCACATATGTTACATGGCACTCGTAAACAATCTTGGGAAATATGAAACCACCGATAACTATATTTGTCTTGTTGCTGTTATTATAAAAGAAGATAATATAATACCAAACTATAAACATAATTCGATTTCATAAATTCTGGTTAATTATATTACGTTTAATGACTGTTTTCTAACTTAAATACTAACAATTACCGATAATAACAGAAAACTTATATGAAGCTTATAAAAAACTGGCTTCTAGTAAATGTAGCATGTATTGCAGATCAACAGTCGTGGTTGTATCGCCATAGGTAGCACTTAAAAGTGCCGTTAAAAGGGGCACCGTTTCAAAAGCTCCGTATAAATAACGCCAGACTACGACGGCTTTTACCGTGGCGATATTTTATGATATTCTTTCGTTTCCATTTACTTGTTCGGTTACAAATTACAATAAATCCTTTCAGTTTTTTTGAAGTGTTTCGATAATTATTGTGCATTCGATATGCTTGTAGACATGCATAATAATATGGTTTAATTTTTGCATTCTTTTTGTTTAATAGGTATTTATGGCTTATTCGAATATTAAAGACACGATCAAAGAGTTTGGTTGATTTCTAATATTTGGAATGAAATATATAGGTATAAATAACAGGGCTCTTACAAAAACATTCCAGCTATCCAATAAAGATGAGTAACAAAATAGATTCGTATGAAGGATGTTTAAACAAGAGTGAAAATGTTCGGGAACCGCCAACGCAAGTGAGCATGTTTCAGCCTACCTAATATTTGTTGTCGTTGAAGGGTCAACCGAATAAGAGGATCCCGTAAAATGTTCCCCAAAATGGGGCGAAAACTGTCGACCGACTCGATCTCAATGGAATCTGTGATGGAAATTTCTGTTTCGCCTTTTATTAATGTTTACTGTAATGTACACGTCTATATTTGAATACGTCAGTTTATATAAGAAATGTTGTTTGCGTGATCGCGTTAATCGTCGTTTTTTGATGTAATATTTTTAGTAATGTTATGAGAA